CAAGAATAACTATTTAAAGCACTGCAAACTAGCATTGATGATTATTCCTCCTATCAAAACTCAACTTGTTTTCAAAATTATTCAGACTTTCTCACAGTTTTCAGTTCATGGCAATGTCCATATGGGTGGCTTAAAATTGTTCAGGATAAAGTTACTTTGTTTAAGTTATAATATAAACCAGCACCCATCATAACTCACTCTGTAATTGTTGATAAAGATCTCAATGTAAACACGTTTATGTACGCCCAAGAATTGTTACTCAACTCAGGTAATATTAAAACTCCATTTTTATTATCTAATATACACCACTTGGATGATGTTCTGCACGTTCTTTCTGAGAATGCATCGTCAGTTATATGAATCTGAGAAAAAGTTACGAACTCAAAGCCTGATGTCATTGAAGTCTCGCTATGGTGATATACAAATAGATAAATTCTGTGAAAATGATGATTTAAAAATAGATGAAATTCCACACAATTTTAATGATTACCACTTTTTCCGGGAAATTGAAATTTTACAGTCTGATATTGATAGTATGAAGGATGAAATCCCTGTTATCACTACTTAGCTGGTTACTGTTGTTATGCCTTGTTAAAGAAAAATCACTGCGATCATTGTAGGGAAAATTTTACACACACAGATGATATTGATATAGAAGAAGACAAGCACAATATTATACAGAATTTGAGTAGAGGTGGCTTAAAATTCCCAAAGGATCCAGTTATTAATATTGTCATGCTAAGTTATATAAATTTCAATAAAGTTTTGGAAGGTGACGAGGAACCATTTTTAGAAATCACTGATAAGAGACGCGCTCTTTCTCAGTAGATAATTAACAATCTGAGTGATAATAATCACGACACTTCATTTTCGCGTTGCACAGTCCATTTACCAGGTTATGTTATAAAACTAATTGTTATTTGCACAGTCAATACATTTTTGAAAAATTATTGTGCCAAAAGGAACGACATCTTTGCAAGCGCGAATAAAGCAAAGAAACGTAAATTGACTACATTCACATGAGGCCGCAACATTTACATAGCTGTAGATAAATGTTTATTTGTACATATTCAGAATTTAGCACTTTAATTTTCGTTATACTAATTTTTGTAATTTTTGATACTTGTTTTCTGTTTTCTAATTTTTGTTATTATTTTGTGCTGTTATTTGTTTGTTCTAAGAGTTTTTATTAAGTTTTCGTTAATCTTTGTTATGTTTTTTCTGTTGTTTATTTTACTTTGATTTTATCTGTTTTTTTATCATTTATCCTACACTTTTTCCTCCTCATCTTCCTTATTCCTTTCCTGGCAAGAGCTTACCTTAGACCTCCTCGTTGGTTCTTGCTGGACACAACTGTTCTACAAGCACTACATTTTTTATATAATTTTCAAGTACTATCATATTATACCTATAATAATAGTAAATTGTCCACATATTCCTGTGAAATTATGTTGATCGGTTGTGACTAACATGGGGTTATTCGTTGAAGAATTTAAGATTTTTAGCAAGCTTTTATAACATCAACTTATTAATCTAATGTGCACGTAATGTTGGATGAACTATCAGTGAAAATCAGGGTGAAAATAGTTAATAACTACTTCAATATTTTCCAACAAGTTGCCTTCATATACCAAAAACACTTTTCTGAATTATCTGTTATTTACATCAGGTAGAGTATATTAAATATGCTACAATAATATATTATTCACTAGCGCTAATGTACGGCACGGCGTGCTGTCGGCCGGCCGACCGGCCTACTCGTGGTGACGTCACGCGTCTGTTGTCAGGCCTTGTACTCTCGGTGGTAACGACTAAACCCACTTCTCTTTGGATTTGCTGTTAGCCAAGGACTCAAGGGAACACAGGCAGAAACAATCATTTTCGTCTTCTTCCTCTTCATGTTCTTTGCTTCGCTTTATTAGAATTTGTCCTTTATAAAAACACGCCTTGTAACGTTCTTCGCCTTTCTGCTCGCTTCTACAGCAACAATTTCGTCCTTAACAGCTGTGTCAGTAAGCAAAGCAGACTTGATGTTTCTTTCACTCCGTTGGTTTCCTTTTTTGGCATTCTAAAAGCTTCCGGAGACAATTCAAACCAGATTTGAAACTTAAAAGTAGAAAAAATTACACAATGTTTACGTAATGTGTATTGAATATTTTTTTAGAAGAAGGGCACCGACGCGATCGTTTCTTGTAGCCCTGAGAGACAAACTACATCACATGCTGTGTCATTGAAACAATAAATACTCGTTGTTTCCAATTCGCAAACGATCACAGGTTACAAGAAATCGACGCTGACACAACGCAACTCAGTCTCCCCTACATTTTGCTATACAATGACGTCAATGCTCCGTTATTGCTGTGAAATTATGTTTTTATACTTCAAATTCCAAGTTAAATGTTTTAGACCACTGAGAGAGTTGAAGCATTGTAGCAAACACTTCGTTTATATGTACAAAGCACACAGCTGCAAGCTAGAAGAATATATGACCTTCAATTTTGGACTGACATGTAGCCAGGGTACACTACACAAATAATACTTTTTTACTAAGCATTTAATCAATTATCAAGAGCACTAGAGACAGTCTGTGTGACTGTAGTGGAATAACGAAACTTTTTAAAGAGTCAAGCAACTACTTAGTGGATTGGTGCAACTCCACAATTTTTCAAATAGCATTTGATGCTACCCCTCTACAACTTTCAATCACCGTTCTTATTTTTAGTCATGTATCGTTCGCGAACGAGTCGTTCAAAACGAACGACTCATCTATGTGAGCGATGATTGAACGACGCTTTTGTTACATATGACTCGTTCAATTGTGCAAAGCGTGTCTGCACGTCTGCAGTATCCATCAACTGAACTGCGAACTGACAACAGACACAATCTAAGGAACCCGGTTCTTTTGATTTGAGATGTCTCATTAAATTATACGTTGAAATAATGGGATTTGAGAGCAAAAATTGCATTTTGATTCAGAATTCGGTAATTCCTCAAAACCGAACCAAATATCCCTTCGTTTTGCGGAAGAATGTATGCATTCGTTACATTCAATTTCACCCCAAAATATTAATACTTAAATAAATACAATAATGTCGGCAACCCTAACCCTTCATTTCATTTTCATAGTCTGATGTATATTCTGACTCGGTGAGTCGTTACTACAGACAACACAATACTCTCGTCAGCTTCGAGGCCGGTCGGTAATTCTATCGTTCAAATGAAGGACTCCAAACAAACGACTCACTGAAGAAATGAGCGAGCTCAGAGAAGAGTCGTATGTCTCAGGCCTACTTATTTTACCGCCTGCCAAGTAATCTATTAAAAAACAGGTCGACTATACGAGAGATGTCCTTTAAGTTTTTCATACAGAAACATAATAGGCCGCGCGGATCGAACGTCAGTACTGAATCTTAACCTCACTCTTTAGTAAACTTAAGTCCAAAGTTTCACAACAATACGTGCAGTGTTCTCTAAGAAAAATGGAACAACCGATAACATTTTCGCGCCATAATTTATTACAACTTTCAGAGACAATTATCGCAACAAGAATGCGTTGCTGAGTTATTGTCTGTTTTCGGCAACGAAGCGCCACATCAGTCGACAATTTCCCGTTGGTATGGAGAATTCAAACCTGGACGGGTGAGTCTTAGCGACGATCCCAGGGTGGGTGCACCAAAAACGGCAGTCACCCAGGAAGACGCCGATGCGGAGCGGAAACTCACCATTGAAGATAGACATGTGACATATCGCGAGATTGAGGCGTCCTTGAAGATCTCAAAGACCTCAACTCAAAAAAAATTACATGAAGAATTAGGAGTAAGAAAGTTAGTTTCTCGTTGCATACCCCAACTGTTGACTGAAGAGCAGAAAGCAGCCAGGGTTAATTGGTGTCAAAAAACGTTTGACCGTTTCAATTCCGGAAACTCAAAAAATGTGTACAGCATTGTTAGTGGTGATGAATCGTGGATTTATGGTTATGAACCAGAAAATAAACGACAGTCAGCTATTTGGGTGTTCCAACGTGAAGAAAAGCCAACAAAAGTCATCCGTACTCGAAGTGTTTCGAAAAAGATGGTTGCGACATTTGTGTCAAAAGCGGGTCATATTGCAACAATTCGTCTTAATGAGCAAAGAACGGTTACTGTGGATTGGTATACCACCATTTGTTTGGCAAAAGTCATCATCGAGCTTCCAAAGATCAACCCCGAAAGAAGAATCATCCTCCACCAAGACAATGCAAGCTCGCACACAGCCCAAAAAACATAGCAGTATTTAAGGGAGGAAAACGTGGAATTATTGGACCATCATCCTCCATATAGTATATAGTCCCGATCTAAGTCCTAACGATTTCTTTACTTTCCCGAAAATTAAAAATAGACGGCGTGGTCAAAGGCAAAGTTTCGAGTCACCAGAAGAAGCAGTTGACGCGTTCAAAAATGCCGTTTTGGATCTGCTAGCAAACGAGTGGAATAAGTGCTTGGAAAATTGGTTCGAGTGCATGAAGATGTGTGTTAATCTTCGTGGAGAATACTTCGAAAGACAAGTCATTCAACATTACCTACCGTGTTGTTTCATTTCCATTGCTGTACTTAAAAGACATCCCTCGATCCCTCGTACCTGGTCATACAGTAGAAAAGAGACGGGCTAAATCTTAAGTTTGACATTATAGCCCTATATATAGCTAAGCAAAAATTGAACTGGGTACTTTACAAACAATGTTGCCAGATTACACGATTAATCGTGTAATTACCCGATTTCGGTCCTTTTTACACGATTACACGAATGAAGTGCCAATTCTCACGATTTTTGAGATTTTATAAAAAAATGAATTACTTTTACTTATTTAAAATTCCAACAGCACCCAAATCAATGTATCAACTCCACTTATTCATGTTTATATAGGAAAGTTTTACGCTTTCACGCGGTTTATCAATTGGGGGCACTGACGATTAATTCGGGGAATCCCGTAGAGCCGGTTCATGTTGATCACGTCGTACGTTGTCAGTTTGCATTCACTACTTGTTTTAACTTATGCATTTTGCTTACTGATACTTCCATCTAGTATTTCATTATAAATCGTATTTAAAATGTGTAATACTTCTGATAGTGAGAGTGATGTGCCGATGCAAGAAATAAAAGATGTTAGCTGTTTTAGTACGCCTAAAAAAAAAAAAATAAAAAGTGCGGATTATACTCAGAAATACAAAAGAGACTGGGAAAAAGAGCGGAAGTGGCTCCAGTCAAGTAAGAAAGGCCCAACTTACGCGTGGTATGATAGTTTGTTATATGATTTTGTAACTTTAAAATAATTTCAGTTTATAATATTTTAGGTGCAAATTCTGCAGTTGCGATAACCTTATTGCGAGGGGCAAAGGAGAAATTAAAAAGCATATCACCACTGCCAAACACATAAAGTCAATATCAACCATCAAATCGCAACCATCTGTGGCGTCAGTGTTTGGCAAAAAATCCAAAAATATCGACGAAAAGGCAAAAGAGGGTGTTTTACGCCTTGCTGGTTTTATAGCGGAGCATAACTTGCCAATAAGATTAATGGAACATATTTCGAATTTAGTTAAAAGTATTTGCACAGATTCTGAAATTGCGCAAGCTATCAAATGTATTCGTACAAAAATGACTAACGTAATACGAAATGTCACCGGCGATTGATTTACACAATATAACGCCTTAACCCTTTATTTTACGGAGCAAGCTTATGAAGGAGTGTTGCAAGCCGACAATATTTTAGAAAAACTTAAAAAACCAGAGATAAAACTATACCTTGATTTTTTGGCATATACTCGTATATTACCTTTATTTAACCGGCTAAACCTTTTAATGCAGAGTGAGAAGCCACAGCTACATAAAGTATATGAAGAAGTGACATGTGTGTTAAAAACCATAATGGACTGTTTTATTAAACGAGATATTTTAGAGAACATCATGGTGTATGAAATTGATTATAAAAATCCGAGAAATTTTTTAACAATTGATGATATATGGTGCATCAATTAATGTAAGTAAAATTGACAGAAACATTTTATATTCTGTTAAAGTGAAATACTTGGATTTTTATGTTGAAAGTACAAAGCAAATATTGCTCAGATTTCCCTTAAAGAATTCTGTAATAGAAAAATTTAAGTTTCTGGATCCCATTTGTGTGAAATCCAAAGAGAAGAACACTATTTCAGATGTGGCGTCGTTTTTTCCAAATTTAATTCATCCTGATGAAATTCAGGATCTGGATAATGAATGGAGATTGCTAAAAAATTACCCTCTGGATGACACTGAGAATGATATTTTAAAATTTTGGAGCGAAATTGCCCAAGTAATGATAGGAGATTCTCTAAAATTTCCTATTTTAACTAAGTTTGTTTTTCAAATTATGTGTTTGCCTCATTCGAGCGCGGCTGTAGAGAGAATATTTTCCTAAATTAATCTGATTAAAACACAGTTTCGCAATAAGTTAAAAACAAAAACAATAGAAGGTCTTTTGCATACAAAAAGTTTTATGGAAAATAAAACATGTTACGATTTTACTTTAAACAAATATATTAGCAGAAGACTCGGCAATAGCAGCCTATTATATTTATCCGAACATGAAAATAAAGACTCTAGCGACTCAGAGTCTTCGTAACACGGTAACATAATGTTTTGAGTACGAATTGTGTATTTACTTTATTATTTTAAAAAATATACCTTTATGTTACTTTTTTAAGTTAGTGTCTTGCGTTTTAATATTGTTTTCGTTTCTGATATTTACAATAAAGTTTATTTATACTCGTGTCTATATACATATTATTTAAATTAAATTTAGCATTTTTCGGCGTTACACGATTTTCGGCAGAGGAGTTTCATGATTTTCTTTTAACTCATCTGGCAACACTGTTTACAAATATTAATTTTTAATTACTAAAAATTTCGCAACCACTCAGACTGCCCCGTATCCGTGCTCACTGACAAAGCCAGCGAGTGAACGATCATCGATGACAGCTGTCAGGCCCAAAAGAGCTAGACAGCTATCTGCCTCACGCTCAGGATGCGGGACTATGTCTCCTCATCGCGGTTGCGACAACTCTACGGTTGAGTAGAGAGTATGCGAAGATCTACTACAGAAATGATCCTGTGAAGTATGATCTTGCTTTTACATCGGCGATTCCAACATAGTCTATGAATTTCATGAAGCGTACGGACGGAGCGCGCAGATACCGACACCTAGCGGGCGATAGTGCAGTGTAACTATGGGATAGCGTATTTTGGTCCTTCGTGCCGGATTCTTTCCATTCACGCGCTGCGCCGCCGAATCATTGTTGCCAAATCTACGAAAAATTCCTCAGGTGTAGAAATTTTCCCTATAAACGTATAACTGGTGGTTGATTTCGTTTTGAATACCGGATAGTAAAACTACAAAAGCATAAGCACACTAAAATATAGTACAACATACAAGTTAGGGACACTGTGAATTTAATATTCATGGTTTTTATTAAATGTAAAATCGAAAATAGTTGAAATGTGGTTGAGTCTCTCAGATAAAAAAACGGATGTCGGATTTCGCTTTAGACTCAACTTTCTTTTCAAATCAATACAATGCAATAAAGTCCAAAAAAGCTAACGGCACGCGGTGTTCCCAAGCGGTCACCCATCCAAGTACTAACCGCGCCCGACGCTGCTTAGCTTCGGCGATCGGACGAGAGCCGGCGTTTTCAGCGTGGTATGGCCGTTACCTAGTAAAATTTAATTATTAACTGGGTATTTAAGCATCTAATGATGCCCAAATATAAATGATAAAATCTCAGCATAACCCCGGATTTAATTATTGACGATGAATCACTAGATAAAAATAGCTGACAGGTTTGTTCTACACTCTAGTAAATTTATGGTTTATAGCATATTTTGGTCCATTGTGCCGGATCATGGGATCATTATCCTAGTTCAAGCCGAATCATGATTGCCAGCTCTAAGAGAAATTTCTTAGATCTAGGGACTTTTTATTGAAGGATAAAAGAGCACCTTTAGTGAACGGTGTTCAAGATTCGGTCGCCCTCTTTTATTAATCGCTTACCCAACGCAGCTAACTTTCGTGACTAAAATTTTTATGTGCATGCTGCTTACTAGCAGGGAAACCTGGACAAAGCGAGCACCCCTGTCAAAGCGAACACACCAAACAAATCGAATTTTCCATTTTACGTCCAAACCATGAATCTACCATCAGACGACAAAATGTATCTCTTGTATATTTGGAGAATTTTCTGGGTAAGACTATACTTTAGCGCATATCGCAGATACTTCATTTCTTACTTTAAAATGAATGATTAGGATGTAACTTGCACGAAAATATAATTTTTTCTAGGAACCCTCTGCTTGCTATTTTATAGAACTTCAAAGTTGCATTTTTGGTGGTAATACTCTAGAATGGAATACTGTTTTATACCCTTTTTTTGCTTTTTGCACAAGTTGATTTTCTAAGTTATAAGAATATAACATACACTGCATTAGTACTAAGGAAAATAGATGTGAAACTGTGAAAAGTCGTTGTTTTTTGCAAAAAAGGTTCAAAATCAGCCGTGTTATTACACATTAGCTTATTAGCTAAAATATCTGTTCAAAATACATACGTAAGTGATGGTATTTACTTGGTAAACTGTGTAGAGGTGTTGAGTTGTGATTTTTCAGTCTTCTTGAAATTCCTTAACCATATTTTTCGCGTATTTTCAATGAGATCAAAGTTTTTGCGTTGCATTTTATAACTTTCATCTCTTGACAGATAGGATCAATGATGTCCATTGTTGCCAAGTTGTACCTTTTTTGGGAGAAATACGTGATAAAAAATTGGGTTATTTGCAAAATAAAAGTCTTAATTTATTGTAAATGTCTTGTTTTATGAGTTGTTGATCCAATATTTACCGAAAACTACATGAACTTTTGAACAGTATGTGTCCAAACAGTGGAAAATGCACTAGCGGCCGCGTGACTTAGAAAATACAAAAGGCACCAGCGGTCTTTGCATATAAAAATCATCAAGAAACTTGCAATGTTCTTTGTTATGTTTTCATTATTTAGTGATTGGCATCACCTGCTTTTTCAGTTATTTCTCATATATATCATATTTAATTAGGTATATTTTGTGACATCAGCTTCACTTTAAATAAATATTCAAGTACATACACACTAAAAGTAAATAGATTATAACTGTAATATAGGAAAAACAATAACCGAAGTACTTTTGTGAAAGGCATAAGGTTGTTCAAAAAAGTGTCTTTAGCTAACGCTATCGTAGTATATATAGTACATATATATATATATATATATATATATATATATATATATATATATATATATAAATTGTTGCGCTAGTATATAAGTAAGAATTTGACAAACAAAATCAGGGTATATTACTATCCATGATTTGGCAACATAGCAACTAGATGGAGAGGGTAGGGTAGTGATGGTGGTGGTGTAGTGATGGGAATATTTATCTGAAATAAAAGAAATTACTACTTAACAATGAACTAACGAGCCCAAACAGCTAATAATATTCGGACACCTTTACTTTTTGAAAAAGTGGACCCATAAATTAACTGCCGCGTTCTAAAAATGTTTGGCAATCAATTTATATTGATAGATAAGCATAATAAACAGATATTTTTAATAGCGGCAGCTCTGATTTCAAATTTATTACTTTAAGACAAACAAAATCACTAAAATATCGTGAAATATGGTGACAACTGAATGTTCGGACAGGTCAACACGCATAACATTAGAGATAGACTAGCAGGCTATGCAAAAACTATTGAGGGCGATACCAATGTCAAAATACCATTTATTATGTCAACTTCGTTAGAAATTGTATTTAGTATCTAATTGTATTTTCTTGTTGGTAATTTATATTCATGCAAAAATGGTGCGAGGTGTAGCCACTAACCAGAAAGTGAGGCAAATTATTATTCAGCAGTTTATGTTTTCACCAGAATGCTGTCGAAAATACATTCATAAATCTAGACTCAAATTTTATAAGGTATGGCATTATAAAATTATTATTCCAAAATAATTTTAAAATGTTTTTTCATTAATTAGGCTAAAGAAAAACCGATTCTGACTGAAGTCCCAAAACAAATGCGCTTAACTTGAGCAAAATCAAAGCGCTCTTGGACGTATGGAACTGCAGCAAGATCACATTTAGTGACGAAGCCAAATTTGACGTATGGGTGGGCGATTACCGGAAACGGGTCTTCAGAAGCAAAACTGAAACTTCCCACAAAGACTGCACTAAACGTATAGTGAAATTTCCCAAAGGTATTATGGTGTGGGGCTGTATGTCTGCAATGGGACGTCTTCATTTTGTAAGAAATCTTTGAGAACACATTATTGCCTACCATAGCAGACTTATATCCTGACGGAGATTGCATTTATCAGCAGGACGGCGCATCATGCCACACTGCCAAAAGCACAAAACAATGGTATGGGGATCATGACGTACATGTCCTCTCTTGGCCCGCCAGTAGTCCCGATTTAATTGTAATAGAAACGGTCTGACACAAAATGAAACAACGTTTGAAAAACCATCCTCAGAGAACAATCCCTGAACTGCGTGTGAAATTGCAAAAAATTTGGAATTCGTTTACACAAGAAAACTGTCAAGCATTAGTTAAGACCATTTCTGCAAGAATTCAGGCGGAAATTAAGACAAAAGGCGACGTAACAAGTTATTAGTTAAGTTACATTTTGTAGTGTCCGAATATCACATTTAGTGACGAAGCCAAATTTGACGTATGGGTGGGCGATTACCGGAAACGGGTCTTCAGAAGCAAAACTGAAACTTCCCACAAAGACTGCACTAAACGTATAGTGAAATTTCCCAAAGGTATTATGGTGTGGGGCTGTATGTCTGCAATGGGACGTCTTCATTTTGTAAGAAATCTTTGAGAACACATTATTGCCTACCATAGCAGACTTATATCCTGACGGAGATTGCATTTATCAGCAGGACGGCGTATCATGCCACACTGCCAAAAGCACAAAACAATGGTATGGGGATCATGACGTACATGTCCTCTCTTGGCCCGCCAGTAGTCCCGATTTAATTGTAATAGAAACGGTCTGACACAAAATGAAACAACATTTGAGAAACCATCCTCAGAGAACAATCCCTGAACTGCGTGTGAAATTGCAAAAAATTTGGAATTCGTTTACACAAGAAAACTGTCAAGCATTAGTTAAGACCATTTCTGCAAGAATTCAGGCGGAAATTAAGGCAAAAGGCGACGTAACAAGATATTAGTTAAGTTACATTTTGTAGTGTCCGAATATTTAGTTGCCACATATTTTTGAGGAGTTTAGTTTTTTTTTGTTAATTTAAATTACTTATCAAGAAAAAAAATATTATTATCGAAAATGAGTCATATTTTGTATAAACTATCAATAAAGGCTTTCGGTACAAGTTTACTACCTTATTCTGTTATTTTATGCACAAAATTTAAGTGTCCGAATATTTGTTTGGGCTCGTATTTTCATCATCAAAATAATGCTAAATTGCATTATTACGATGAACAGTGCCACATACATTGTATGCTATATTCATATAATTTTGAGCAATATTTTGTGTAAACAAGAAAAAAACGGCTTATACGGCAGTATTCTGTACCACAGTATTACCACCCAAAATTCAACTTTGAGGTTCTATAAAATAGCAAGCAGAGATTTCCTTAAAGAAAAAATGATATTCTCGTGCAAGTAACATCCTAATCTTTCCTTTAAAAATAAGAAATGTAATACAAATAAGGAGGATTGAATTTATTAATAGTTTCAGTTGAAAACAAGAAAATAATCAGACGAGTGAGTGTGGATCCTTTTTTTTTGGTTGTTGGTGAATTTAAATTTGGTAGCAGATAGTGCATAAAAATGAAATAAATTTAAGGGTCTTGCTCAGAAAATATCAATAAGTTTGTTTAAAGCCGATAATAACAACCACTGTATACTATCAGTAGTGTAATATAAAATCTCCCGAATTTGGCAGCGTTCATGATTTGGCTTAATGAATATTGCTGTCTGAACTTTTAAGCTCATAACATTTTGTGATATGTATTCACTTTACCCTGGAAGTCCATGCAAAGTGGTTAATTTGCATCCCTTTGCTTTTTGTTATCTACGTTTCTTGATAGATACGACCAAAGCAGGTGGATAAACGCTCGTTTCGGATGTTTTCTTTAACTCTAAACATATTAATTAAGCTTTAAGCTTCTGTAATGATATGTACAACGGACGTCCACTTTACCCGGGTCTCCCCTATCTCAACTCAGTGTGACATTACTTGGGTTTGTCGATTGACATGGTGAGCTTTCAACAATATTGCTGTATAAGTAAACAACGATATAGCCGTAAAGAACCTGAATAACTAATTACCCCTAAGGAAATGTGCGTGGAACACGCTAAGCGCATTATGACGCATTTTCCATTTTTCCGCCGTGAACGTCCATTTAGGTCATACTGAAGCAACGAACAGAATGCTCTTACATGGCGTGGACCCACTTCAAACAGAAATTTTTGATGTATGTGGTTTGTCATAGGTAAGGCCTTCCCCATGTTACGTCTTCAACGTGCTTTACACAGATTTAACGCATTATATGTATAGTTTGCCCCGGTATTTATAGTATAGGTGATATTTATCAAGATCTTTTAAATTTTGTGATTTATTCTTATTTGATTACGTGAAGTTTTCAGGGTCAGGAGGTTGAGTACAATTTCACCTAATATCATATGGAGAAAATATGGAGCGGTCTTGCCAATATCACGTATTTTTTCCCCGCAAGAAACGGTGTAAAGTTATCGGAAAAATAAATTTGATCGCGCAATAGAATGTTACAGGTAAATATTTCTACAAAAATTTGTTGCATCAAAGTGTAAAAGATGGCAATTTTACTCAAAAGACATTACTCTACATAATTAACGTGAAATGATATTGGAATGGCAGTACACTAAAAAAAACTGACTATAATTAAAATTCGAATTAAACCTGCAAAAATGTAATTAACATTCTGACAGCTAACGAGTTCACCTGCTTGAATTGAATTTTCATTTCTAAAACAGTTTAAGTGAATTTATAAAGCTAAATTTTATTGAACGAGTTTAACCAAATCAAAGACATCTGTTTTATGTAAATATGCTAAGCTACCCACATAGTTTGAAGCAGGGGTGATCGTATTACCCCTAAATATCGCTTCAAACGCAAGTTTATTGTGGAGTATCCAAGGGGGGAGGAGTGGGACGCCGGTAGCCGGAGACTCTCCGGAGTGAGCGGGCAGGTCTGGTACACGGACGGCTCGGTTACCGGAGGGGGCTCAGGTGCTGGGGTCTCTGGGCCTAGAACAAGGCTATCTCTGCCTCTCGGGGGATACACTACTATTTTCCAGGCGGAAATCTTTGCGATTGTGGCTTGTGTATCTCACATTGTGGAGAAGGGTGGGCCTAGGAGAAGAATAACAATCTTATCCGACAGCCAGGCTGCAATGAAAGCACTAAGTGCCTGTAAGATTACTTCGAGTCATGTATTGCAATGCAGGGAGGCTCTGGATTGCCTCGCAGCGAGGCATCCGGTATCATTACTATGGGTACCGGGGCATGCGGGTATAAGGGGCAATGAGATGGCGGACACTCTGGCGAAGACAGGATCAGCCAGCAAGCTCGTTGGTCCTGAGCCAGCTCTAGGAGTGACCGCGCATAGAGCTAGGAGGAAAATGGATACGTGGGTTGCAAGATAACACTCTCAGAAATGGAGAAGTATCTCCAGAGATCTCCGCCAGGCACGGGAACTCATTGAAGGGCCCAGTGCTAAGGATGGTCGTTTCTGCCTATCTCTGGATAGAACCAACCGTTAAGGCGCTACCTGCACGTGATGGGGTGGCTGAGGATCTCTTGTGTGAACGCTGCGGGGTAGAGGAAGAGACCTCGGTGCACGTTTTGTGTCACTGTGAAGCTCTGAGCTACTATAGGCAGACTATACGGGGATCCATTACTTTGGACCCTCAGAACGTCAAGGAGCTTGGACTCAAGGCGATTCTCAACTTCGCTAAAAGAGCGAGGCTTGTGATCTAAGGAATGTAGAGGTGCATAAGGGACCGCTTAAGCGGCCTATGCACTGGCTCCCTATGGTGGCCGGATTGCCTCTAATTTCAAGATTCAGTCATTCACAGCTTGAATTAATTTGTTCGAAACTAGTGAATTATTAAAAATAGGTTTGCCAAGCCTTTTGAAGAATTTTCTTTTATTAGTCGGCTAATTGCTATACAAACATTATTTTGAAGTACTAATGCGTTTCGTAGAATTTATAGTCAACGCCAAACAAAGTGGCGTGCACGTCATCAAGGTGGGTGTGTTGAAAAATTTACATTGTTGCCAAACTTTTTGTAAAATAATAAAATTTATTATTTACATATCTAGGTTTATAAGCAATATTAACCTCAAATGAGAACAAAAATAATAGTATAATAAAATTATAGATCTGTACTTGCATAATCATTAAGTATGACAATTATTGATCAGATGACACTATGAAACTACCATATTTAATTGATAGCTTAAAGGTACTGAATAAAAATCCAAATGGGGTCCTCCAAATTTTATGCATGGTATTTATTTTACAGAATTCATACAGAAAAATGCATTCTAAAATTAGGTAAGCTACTGGTGTAAGCTTTTTCTGTACAATAAAGTTAGTCGGAGTTTCTTTCTTCAGCGCTGTCTGAATCTGAATCTTCATCGCTCTCAAAGTTGATTATTAAAGGTTCGATGTCTGGTCGATCAAAAATTCGTTCTCTTTCATACCATTTAAAAATTTCTTGCTCAGTATGTGGAACACTATTTTTCCACATGTCTGGGGTAACCGTTTGTAGAGCCTCGTTCCACATATCCAAACAGTCTTTTTCACTGTTACCATCTCTACCAATATGTCTGTTATAGTAACCTTTTGCTATGCCCCAAATTAACTCAATAGGGTTAAATATACAATGGTAAGGAGGCAGACGAAGAACTTTGTGCCCATGTTGTTCCGCCAATTCATCAATCACGTATATTTTAGGTGGTTTGTTTCTAAAAAAGCAGTTATTTTAAGAATAGGAATAAACAAAAGAAATATAAACTGTCGACCAAAATATATATAATTAAGAAGCATTATGTACCGAGCAACAATACTCAATAGCTCTGTTTTAAACATTGTGTTTAAAAATGGTATGTTTTGATTTGTCAACCAGTCTTGGATATTTTTTTTGTCCATGCATTGTTGGGCACTTTGTTCAATATCATGCTGTGATAAGGGGCGTTATCCAGTATACTCATAGATGGACTCTCCACTTTTTCTAATAACTGATGTTGAAACCATTTCAAAAAATTGTCCTGGTTCATCTCTCCATGGTAATCGCTCAATTTTTTTCGAAGAAAATATCGCTTCACTACCCTCAATAAACCCATTTTCATTTCCAGCATGTAATATAATGTATCTAAAATATATTAGTTTTAAATTTTATAGTGCAAATTGTGTAAAAGTACATACCTTTTACCATCTGTTTTAATAGCTTTCACGCTTTTTTGGTTTCCATTTTGCCAAGAGCGACCTATGGTCCCATTTTGAAATATCCAAGTTTCATCGAAGAAGACAAACTGGTATAAGGCCTCAACCTTGGCTTGATTGTATTGCCTTAGAAACTCCACCCTTTTCAAAGCTATACTTGGTAGTTCCATGAGCCCTCGTCGCGGATTGTCCTTAAGCCACTTAAATCCAAGATCTCTAAGCAACCGCCTTAAAGACGTGGCACTACCATCAAATAATGCCCTATCTCTTAATCGAGACCATAAAGTTTGTATCGTAACTTGTTCTTCTGAAACCATGTGTAATATGACATTATAATTTAGTTAACAAATTAATGCAAATTTCTGATAAGTTATTATAATAAGATCTTACTTTTGTGATACATATTATAGATCACTTCTCGAATGGCACTTGTATCCAATGTCGCTGTGTTGGTTACACGTTTAATATAACTCCGCTTTTTCTTGGGCGATTCTAAATTTGCATCACTTTTCACACCCTCGGAAATACGACTAACTGTCCTTAAACTAATTTTTAAAGCAGCAGCAACACGCTACAAAAAATGAAATAAAATTTCACTATTATTAATATACATTACATATAATTATTAGTAACCTACCTCTTGAACAGCATTTAAAGGCAACAAAGGCCCGTTGTTGTCCCTTTCTTGCTCAAAGTAGTGCATTAACGAGGCCACGAGTTCCTTACACCGACTATTTAACTGTTTGGGCATCTTTATATACCAAAATTGCCTTTATCTACTCGTCAAATGAATAATTTTGTTTTGAAACAAACAGTTGTTGATTTACAGTATGCGGGGCCAAAGGATTTATAAAGATTTGAAATGCCACAAATTGATTCAGTGTCAAAATTAATACAAATGTCAGTTCCCAGTTTAAATAAGTTTCAAGGTGACAATGTGTCAACGCTGCGAAATCGGTTTAGTGCGTTTACATGTCGATAATTGGAGCGTTTGCAAAACATTTTATTTCGCATAATGCGTCTAAATTTATCAGAAAGCAACTTATGTGATATTTTAATAACAGTGTTTATATGACTATTAACCATAATAAGAGAGTAATGACCATTTTACAATTTATATATCACATTAATATGAAACTGCAATAGAGCAATTGTTTGTGATAGAAACCTAGGCATTAGGTCGGGGAATTTTTATCGTGATGACGTGCACGCCACTTTGTTTGGCGTTGACTTTTTATAAATAATACCATACAGAGCATTTGAAAGTGCACACATAACTTTGCCCGGTTACGATAATTCTATTCGACGATCCCGGGGAGGTAGCTTGATCAATCGGCAATGCCGCCAATGTTAAAGTATTTCCTATCATTTTCACACTGACAACGGGCAGTCTTTCCTCAGACGAAAGTTTCAAGAGCGTTCATGCTTTCACAAATTTTTTGCACCAGCAGAACTCGACGCCGATTTGAGCCAGCAGTAATGCACAGCCATGACCTATTTTCATTCTATCACATTACATACGTCAAGAATCGCGAGACAGAAAACGGGACACGATACAAATCAACCCTTTATTTTCACACATGGGAAACTCGGTATATGTCTGATGGAGGACCGTCACCAGCGTAACAAGGTTACTCCGATTTCTTTCGTTTTAAGACGGGAATGGTTTTTTGTTTTTAATGTAGAGCTCGAATGGTTCTTTGTTTTCATTGGCGTATCATATTATCTTGGGGCAGAGAAAGATTCAATCGAAATGATCATGTTCGATTTCGGTCTCTGTATCCACGACGAACCGCTAAAAGCGCTGTTACGTGCTTATTAGCGACTTATCAATGCGGTATAGTTCTAGCAGTCCTTGAGACAGATGGGCGGAAAGCAAACCAGTGGATATGGTTGTTTGAAAAACTCAAAATACTGTACAGAGGTAGGCGAATGAGTTGACGGTCGCCATCATAACAAACCATTGGCAGTTGTCATATTTTTCACCTACCTCCACACAAGATTCGAAGTTACTTGAGAAAAGGTGGGTGCTGTCGCTGATTTCTATAATCCAGTTTCCATTTTATTATTATTTTCTTATTTGGAAGGGTTTCGAACCCTGTTTCGATAGCACAGGGCCAAAGAAAAAATCGGTATATGCATTAAACTTTTCCAAACTTTTTTTGTCCACTGAACACGAATCTGAAGTCAGAATAGTGGGTCCCTGGGTAAATTTCAGAGAAAACGCATAAAGATGATAAAAACCATATCACAAGAAATAAAAAGAGGTATGTTCTGGGGTCTCACTATATTTGAAATCATCAC